TAAGATATAACCTTGTGCCTTTTGAGGAGAAGCACCTTGAAGCAGAGATTCCAAAACCTTGCTTTGACACATTTCAAGGTGTCTCTCATTAAAGGAATGCTATACATATGTGTTTAAGAATTTAAATATATATATTTAAATATATACTTTAATATACATATATATTTTAGCATCTATAAAGTATATATATATATTTAAATCTGTATTAAGTACATTTTGAATCACTTTGAATGTTATGAATGAGTGGACAGGATGTCACAAAATTATCATAGATTGTAGTCAATTCAAATGCAACACATGTAGGAATCACGTGTTGCATGACCAAATTTTCTATAACACCAACATTTTTTTCTATAGTAGGAGAGCCTCAATGTAGCACACGTGATGTGTTTCCTGTGCACAGACATGGGCTGATTTTTTATTAGCTGCAGTCAGTGACAGACCAAGCAACATCAAATCTGTTGACAAACTGAGTGACAAAAGAGTCACTTCTACTCCTGCTTATTATCTTCTTCAGACATTTCACACTTGCTAATTATGATGATTTTGGGTTTTACCTTCCATTCTACCTTCCAGGCTATCAAAAAAAGAAAAGAAAATATCGACCCAATTAATGAATCATTTTCCTTTAGGAAAGAGGAAAGATAAACATCTTCATGAATAAAGACAGCTTTGGCTTCAAGTCATTATGTTCAGACTCACAAAGACATTCTGAGCCAGTGGTGCTCAAACAGAGCACATGAAAAATCAGCTCGGGGATGTTTTAGGAATCCCAGTTCTCCTCAGCTGCGTCCAATTTGCATGAAATTTGAGGATCAGAGACATAAAGCAGCGCTTCTCAGACTTTAGAGTGTTCCCCAATCACCTGGGGCTCTTGTTAAAATGCAGGTTCTGATTTCGTAGGTCTCTGGTGAGAATCAATGTTGTGTCTTTCCAGCAGGCTCAGAGGTGGCATTGAAGCTTCTAGTCCTTAAAAAGCACTTTGAGCATCAAGGTCCCGGAAGATCCCCTTAGGCCTCATAAGCCAGGATTGCATCACCATTCACCTTTGGTTCTAAGGGAGGCAGGGAAAGAGTCTGGCAAAGAGGAAGGGGAAGTAAGGGCTGTAGCAGAGCAACCATGACTCAGTCTCTGGGGCTGGGCATATCACTGTCTGGACAAAAACAATTTTGTCACAAAGAAAAGACAATGACTATCGGGAAGAAAATTGCTGCTGCCAAGGCAAATGTTCCAGAGAAGCTCGTGTAGCAAAGAAAATGGAGTTTCCGAGAATGTTTCATCTCTTATGAGGGTTCCCTCTGTCTTTCCACTCCCAGTATTCAATATATGAGTTGCAGTTGCCCTTTTATTAATGTTGCTGATTTTTAAAAAATACTTTCAAGCATACAGAGAAGTTTAAAGGAAACTATAACAAAACTGCATGTACTGGGAAAATTCAGTGAAGATTCACATTTTGCTGTATTTCCTTTATTTATTTTGGAACCATTTCAAGGAAAATTTCAAACAGCGTGATACTTCTACCCTAAATACCTTATCACTCTTCTCCAAAAGATAAGGATTCTCCTATATAAGCTAATACTATTTTTTTTTTGTATTTTTCTTTTTTTTTTTTTTTAGTACAGATGGGATTTCACCATGTTGTCCGGTATGGTCTTGAACTCCCGACCTCATGATCTGCCTCCCTTGGTCTCCCAAAGTTCTGGGATTATAGGTGTGAGCCACTGCACCCTGCCAGCTAACACTATTTTGATGTCTAACAAAATTAGCAAATCATTTATTTCACTGGGTCCATATTTAAATTTCTCCAATAGTCGCCTAATTCTTCAGTATAATAGCTTTTAATGGATCCAGGATCTAGCCAAGAATTAACTGATTTCATCTTAATTGGTCTCGTGTCTTCCAGTCTCCCTGCCTATTATACCTTAGACCATCACTGGACCCCTGACCCCCTTGCATTACTATTCAATCCACAGATGGATTATTCTCTCAAAATTTATGGTACTTATTTTTTCTCTGTTCAAGGGAGTGTCTCACCAGTCAAGGGCACCACTCCATTGCTACTGAATCTGAAACATGCATCACGTCTTGGACTTGACTTGTGCTCACTTACCTACATTTCCTGTCATTCTTCCCTCTGCACACTCCATTCTACCCATCATTTCTTTCTTCCAAATTTTTGTCCATCCTTCAAAGCCTGAATTCCATCTGTAAGATTCATTGATTAGCTCAGAGAAGAGAAACCCCCATTTAAAAAATGTAACAGCCGGGCGCGGTGGCTCAAGCCTATAATCCCAGCACTTTGGGAGGCCGAGGAGGGTGGATCATGAGGTCAAGAGATCGAGACTATCCTGGTCAACATAGTGAAACCCCGTCTCTACTAAAATACAAAAAAATTAGCTGGGCATGTTGGCGCGTGCCTGTAATCCCAGCTACTCAGGAGGCTGAGGCAGGAGAATTGCCTGAACCCAGGAGGCGGAGGTTGCGGTGAGCCGAGATCGCGCCATTGCACTCCAGCCTGGGTAACAAGAGCGAAACTCTGCCTCAAAAAAAAAAAAAAAAAAAAAGTAACAACAATCAGTCCCATAAAGTTTTGAGCTGAAATTGTTTATATGCGTATTTGCTCCATCCACTGGCATTCTAAGACCTAGAGGCAGGGTTTCTGTCTAAGTAGCTACATGTTTCTAGTGATTTGGGTAGTCCCTGCTCCATGGTATTTACTGGGTAAATGTTTGGTGAATGAATAAAGATGTGAAAATGGCTAAAGATGGGTTTATTCCGTTTATTCAAGTTACTCAAAGTGGCCACCATCCTGAGTACAAGAAAGGTGCCCCTGTGGCTGCAAATTCTTCAGATTGTCTAAATATTTGAGTGACATCGAAAATATCATTCACAACAGCTCACGTACACAAGATAAATTGTTGGTGTAACTCTTTATGAGAATAAATGAATTCAGGCAAGGCTGGGATTGAGACACACAAGGACACCAGGATTTTGTCTCCACCTCTCAGCTCTTTCCTCATCCGTGTTGACTTAATTGTTAGGCTCCACATGGAATCGAGTGGGATCTGGGAGGGCTATATCCTCTCAGGTTCCAGTCCTATTAAAAATATGTTTTTTCTCTACACAATAGCAGCAAAAAGTCTTATCTCTCATTTACTCATTAGGTCAATAACTATTCCTAGAGTACTGTGGCCATAGCAATAAGATGCTTTGATTTCCCTAATACGAGGCACAGGTTTAATTCCAGATAAGAATGAGGGCATTCTATGAAAGAAAAATGTAATCACCTTTTTCCCCCACTGCATGATAAAGAAAAAGACATCTATTGAAAATAATGAATATTTTTAAATTGCCTAAATCTAGAATAATAGGACAAATATGGATAAATTTGGCTCATCTGGGAACTAATTACGGTTTAGTACAGGATCAGTGATTCAGTGGCTCTCATTACGCCATAACCACTCAGTCTTCCTCACCTGCAGCAGACAGTACTAGTCAATCTTGTCACTTTTCCTTCTAACCCTAGATGAATCTTTAGAAAAATCTCAGCACATCTCTGAGCAATGAGATCATTCTTTTGGGACCTGACACATGAACTGAAGTGTAATTGATGTTGTTTATGGAAGGGGCATTTAGAGTTCAATTGTCATGAATTCAAATACCAATCCCACCTATCATTTACTATACAGGTGAATGCAGACAAGTGACATATCTCTTACAAGTTTTATTTTTTTGTCATTTGGAAAGTGAAAAATTAAATATAAATCTGTATATTAAGTGAGTATAGCTAAGTAAATAACCCAGGCAGTATTAAATACATGCTATTTTGCCTTCTCCTTCCCAAAAGAGGTCCTATCTGCACTGAGTAGAACTTGTAAGAGTCCTCTTTTTTCAGGATTGAAGGCAAAGAAATCTCAGCCAGTAATCAAATAGCTATAACTTCCCTATGAAATTCAAGATTTAGGGTTTTGACTCATCCAAATCACCTTGCACCACCTATCTTTGGACCAATGATAGTCTTTGGAAGAACAAATGTGTTTCAGGATACTAAAAAGACTTAATCCGTATTTGAAAAAATACTAGCCCCCTCAGTACAAAACCTTTGTAATACTTCACTGGAAAACTTTAACAATATGATTTGTGAGAGATGATTGCTGCCTATAGAGGTGAGGGCATTCTGCATGGAGCTGCTTGGCTTGTGGACCAGCCCTGCCCCCAGGCACTTGAGGCAAATCAATAGCCCCTGGGTCGGTTTCTCCTTTAGAGCCCATTTGCACTTATATTTTCTTTTTTTACTCTGAAGACACACTACCATTGAAACATAAGTAATTACCTAGCCTGAACTGAGTATTTGTTTTTTATGCATCGAAAGTTTGGAGGAAGCATTTCAATTTCAAAAGATACCTTTCCTCCTTGTCCACTGGGAAGCTGCCCTGTCTTTTGAGCTTACATGTAACTGCACGGAAATTTGGTAATAATGCTCAATCTTTAATAGAAGCATGAATTGGCATTTCTTTGTCTCATCCAGCTTTTAATTGACAGATAATTTGGGGTATCAAGTATTTTGTCAGACCCTCCGTTATGTATGAGGGGCTGCACCTGAGAGACTTGGTTCCTGCCTGCTTGTGAAATTTGCTATCAAATGGAGAAAGCAGATGTTAAGTCATTTATTTCAAAATCCATCTTTTAATTGCATTTAAGACAAGACTTATCAAGTAAAAGTGCACAATGCAATCTAAAGGTGTAACCGGGTAAGCTGTTTAGTTTTAGTATGTATTTTATAGATTTTATATAAAATAATTATGTTAGAATATGTAATATTTTTACTTTAATACTGCGGAAAAATTGAACTTTGGGGAATATTTTGTGCTAAAATAACAGCAATACCCAATAATAATAATTTAAATGAATAACTGTGGAGATCAACAGTGCTAAGGTCATTATCAGTGCTGTCATATCAGGTGGTGGTGTCACCACGAACCAGTCCTCTAAGCTTTCAGGTTCAGGTATCATGGCCTTACATGATATTCATCTGAAGCAGGATGAGACAGAGCAGGCCGAAAAGAAAACGCTTCTCACAGTGTTCTCTTATGAAGAATCCACTTTTCCCAGAAAACCTCCCATCTGACTCATAGGTACAAATTGGCCGGAAGACTCATTCCAAGACCAAGCACAGGTACAAGGGCCAAAATTGGCTTAGAACAGGCATGACTCACCTTTTCAGCTTCTCAGTTATCTACTCTCAAGAGCACAGGTCTGATGGTTGGTTTGTGAATCAAATTGCAGAGCTGTTATTATGGAAGAAGGTGATACGACCCTTTCCATAGAGGAGAGTCATAAACTGGCATACCTCACCACAACCACCTTCAGGTAATTGGTTAAGAAATAAAAGCTCTACTAGTAAGAATTATGGACTTTCTGTCTTGTTTCTCTGCCATGAAAAATGGTTCAAGATCTCTTGACATCAATCAATAGTTCAAAAGAAATCAGTTCTCTTAACAGCAAAGAGAAAAATAAAATAATGAAATCTCATGGAAGACAGGGGTATTGCTCCATGTGGTCTCACGGTGACACTGTTGAAGAGTCGTTCTGTGCACATCCATGGGCTGTGTTGTTTGGAACTGCCTAGATCCCTGTGCTCAGGAACAGTTGGGTGCCAAATTATTGTTCTTTCAGATTCATATACATCTTCAGCCATTTTCTTCAAATCACCACCTCTGTTCCATGAAGAAACCCACAATCAGCTGCATATTTTTTTGAAGCCAATCCTTTGAAATGAACTCTTACCACCTTTAGCTGAGCCAGGTCACCAACTTCTTTCCACAAAACGATTTTATTTCACAGAAATGCAACTGAAGTTAGAGGAAATGCAGCATTCACTTCTACCCTACTGGGAGATCCTGTATTCTCTATGAAAATTAAGCTTTCTACCTTCCAGAATTAATTTTGTATGCCAAAAAAGAGTGACGCAGCTTTTGCTAAGCAACTGAAATAATTGTATGAGAAGAGGAATTTCTCTCCCCTTTTCTATCTCCATTTACTGGATAGGGTTCAATCTTTTGAGGAAATGAAGGCATGAATGAGTGTGGCTACTCAGGTATTTGCCACACGAAAATTTTAAGAAAATAAATATTTATATAACTAAGAAGGTAAGACATGTAATTTCATAAACATTGTCAGTGACAACCTCATGTACTCTAAGTCTTAGGAGACATCTTTACATGCTGTAAAAGTCTCTCAAGAGATGCCACTTGCTCTTATCAGAGAGAAGAAGAAAATGAAGAAAAAAAACACGAACTTCCAAATTCTTAAGCACAAAATATAAGAATATTGTTAAATTAAAAAACTGCATCTCAGCCTGTGATGTTGCAATGCATATTGGCTCACTACTGCAACAATGCTCGTCTGTGCCTTCTGCACATTTGTCTAATACATTCTAGGCACTCTCCAAACTCCCTGAGCACTCTGTTTCCAAACTTAAATAACTTTCTTATAGCAGCCCTATCAAACAAATATGCTCATTTTTATGCTCCTCTAGGTTTGTTTTTTCTGTTTGGAGAATTCTCCAACTGAAGATTCTTTGTAGGAAGCAAAGATTACCTCCCACTCCACAATGTGAAACTGCCACGGGCTTCCCCACCTCCTGTGCAGCTAAGGTATATGAGCCCAGCCTCACCAAGAGAAGAAACTGAGCTGGCTTTTGTTTCGGGAGATATAATGCAGAAAAGTCTTATGAAGACACAGATTTGTGCACTCTGATGATCACAGCTACACTGTATTTTCAACATGTGCTCTCTCTCTCTCTCTCTCTCAGCAATTTTCCTGTGTGTTGATTAGACTAAATTAAAATGAGGGGTATGATGAATGCATTGCAGGTACAAACAAGGATTTTACAGGCAAATAATTGAATACGGAAGCCTTGTTATCATTCATGCTAATGGGATTCTCCTCTTCCTGATAATCTTGTAGGAAGAAATCAGGCTAATGAGGAATGGGGCTGAGGAGGAGGAAATTAAGTGAAATAAACCATAAGTTTTCCAGAGTAAATGTAACAGTCTTAAAAGCCAACTGGGTTGAAGAACTGTGGGGCCAGCAGAACTTCTAGTTGCATTTGACTGGCCAGAGCACATGGATATGGTCATGCACTGAAGTCACATCACAATCTCCAGTTTTCCAAGTTTATTCATAAATCTGAATGCCAGTGAGAAATCCAGGCAAAGGCTGACATTTTTTTCCTTGGTTCACAGCCATATTCCTAAGCCATGTAAATATATTGAGTTCACTTGAGCTTTGGTCTGCACTACAGAAGATAAAAATAGAGAAATCTTTCCCCAAATGGCAACTATTCTATGATCTAAGGTCCCCCTGCATGCACCAAATTGTCTCATAATCTCTTGTTAAGCTGTAGTGAAATAAAAACACACAATTAGGAATAATTTTAATTATAAACTGCCATCCCAGAGAGAACTTAAATTACAGTTAAAATGTAGAAAATCAAATAAAATCTAAGAAAATACCGAAGAGTAATGAGAAGTCTCAAATAAAAGGTCCTTGTTCAGAAAGCAGATTGCAGATAATTAGAAATAAAGGTGGAGATTCAATTACTTGGTTTTTCTTTTAAGAAGCTAATGTTGTTGTTTTTACAATATGTCTGCTATTTAAAAATAATCAATAAATCACAATAATGGGAAAATATTGAAATATAATACTTAAATATTGAAATACAAGTAATAGATTCATGCCATTTAAAGTAATATGGATAGCGGCATTTACACTCAGGAATGAGTTTTTCAAACTTGCTATCAGAAAGCTTTACAATCTTAACTGGGCTTCATGAATTTTAATTTTATGAAATAGGCACAATTATAAGATTGTTAAAAAAAATTAAAAAGCAAGTAAGAGAATCCAACATTCACATATAGATGGAATAAAACTCAGAATAAAATTACTCATGAAAATTAATAAATTTTAATATTTTGTTATGTTCTTTTTAACTTTTCATGGAAGCAATAAGGAGAAAATATTTTATCAAAAAATAGCTACATTATATTATTGAGCCATATGAGAACTTTTGTAGTTTACCAAGTTTTAGGCAAAGCAACACAAATACCTAAAAACAAGTAATTTTCCTTCACTCATTTTACTACTTTTGACTAGAATTCTTAGATTTATGTTTTCATCTTCATCAAAACAAAAACATAAAAGTCTCGAATGACTTAACATGATTCTCTTCATGAGATCTTAGTCTGTTTGGGATGCTATCACAAAATGCCATAAACTTAGTAGCTTAACACAAATTTACTTCTCACAGTTCCGGAGGGTGAGAAGTTCGAGAAAGGAATGTGGTGGATTCCACACCTGATGAGGGCCCACTACCTCATTCACAAAGAAAGTCTTCTTCCTGTGTCCTCACATGATAGAAGAGAAAGGTTCTGGTCTTTCCAGCCCCCTTTAAATGCATTCATTCCATTGTGAGGGCTCTACATTCATGGCCTAGTCACCTTTCAATGGCTTCATCTCCTAACAGCATCACTTTCAAGATAGGTGTGGACATATGAACTTCAGCAGGGCACAGACATTCACACCATAGCATAGAGTCATCATCATCAGCAGTATTTTAAAAGCTCTCGGGAGGCCAGACTGTCTCCTATATCCCAGTGTTTAAAGATTTTTGAAATCAAGACATTACACGTCTTTGTCTCTGTCTATCATGTACTTCCTTTGGACAATTTAGTCCTTCTTCCTTCTTTTCTATCCTCTGTGGAGTAGTAGTGAAGCTTGAGCACTTCCATGTCCTTAAATCCATAACAGCATAAGTAAACGTCTTGAGTGCAACAAGCTCTCAAGGTAAAATAGATAGCACATTGCTTTGTATTCTTAAATAGGATTCAGTCTGGCTAAGCCTACAGCCATCAGGGATGGTTGAATATGCAGTTGAGTAATGTTGAGGGAGATCTTTCCTCACTGTGATTCTAAGGAACATAGAGACTTATATAAGCTGCAAGAATTGAAGAAACCCCTGGTCCACAGTTCACCATCAGAGAATACTATAAACATCTCTATGCAAATAAACTAGAAAATCTAGAAGAAATGGATAAATTCCCTAACACATACACCCTCCCAAGACTGAATGATGAAGAAGTCGATTCCCTGAATGGACCAATAACAAGTTCTGAAATAGAGGCAGCAATTAATAGCCTGCAAACCAAAAAAAGTCCAGGACCAGACAGATTCACAGCCAAATTCTACCAGAAGTATAGAGGAGCTGGTACCATTCCTCCTGAAACTCTTCCAAACAATAGAAAAAGAGGGAATCCTTAACTCATTTTATGAAGCCAGCATTATCCTAATGTCCAAACCTGGCAGACACACCACAAAAAAAGAAAATTGCAGGCCAATATCCCTGAAGAGCATTGATGCAAAAATCCTCAATAAAATACTGGCACACTGAAGCCAGCAGCACATCAAAAAGCTTATTCACCATAATCAGGTCAGCTTTATCCCTGAGATACAAGGCTGGTTCAACATACACAAATCAATAAACGTAATCTATAACATAAACAGAACCAATGACAAAAGCCACATGATTATCTTAATACATGCAGAAAAGGCCTTTGACAAAATTCAGCAGCCCTTTATGCTAAAAGTTCTCAATAAACTAGGTATTGATGGGATGTGTCTCAAAATAATAAAAGCTATTATGACAAACCCATAACCAATATCATACTGAATGAGCAAAAACTGGAAGTATTCCCTTTGAAAACCATCACAATCCCAGGGTGCCCTCTCTCACCACTCCTATTAAACACAGTATTGGAAGTTCAGGCCAGGGCAATCAGGCAAGAGAAAGAAGTAAAGGGATTTAATTAGGAAAAGGGGAAGTCAAATTTTCTCTCTTTGCAGATGACATGGTTGTATATTTAGAAAACCCCATCATCTCAGCCCCAAATCTCCTTAAGCTGATAAGCAACTTCAGCAAATTCTCAGGATACAAAATCAATGTGCAGAAATCACAAGCATTCCTGTACACCAGTCATAGACAAATAGCCAAATCATGAGTGAACCTCCATTCCCAATTGCTACAAAGAAAATAAAATAGCTAGAAATACAAGGGACGTGAAGGACCTCTTCAAGGAGAACTACCAACCACTACTCAAGGAAATAAGAGAGGACACAAACAGATGGAAAAACATTCCATGCTCATGGATAGGAAGAAGCAATATCATGAAAATGGCCATACTGCCCAAAGTAATTTATAGATTCAATGCTATCCCCATCAAGCTACCTTTAACTTTCTTCACAAAGTTGGGAAAAACTACTTTAAATTTTATATGGAACCAAAACAGAGCCCACATGGCCAAGATAATCCTAAGCAAAAAGAACAAAGCAGGAGGCATCACACTACCT